GGGGGGGGGGGGGGGAAGGGGTGTACTCATGGCCGTGCATGCCGTAAGGCGTTAGACCATTGACCCCGCATCCCTCCAAAGCCGGGACGGAGCACGCTGGGTTTCATTCACATCACCAAGCGGGGGGGGTAGGGACTTGCGCAGGTGTATCCTTTCGACCGAAGAGAACGAGGGTTTCAAGGAAGGCGACGCGGAGAGAATCGTAAGGAAAGCAAGGGGGGAGGGACGGGGGGGGGTTAAGTGAGCAGAGACAGAGCGTGCACTGATGATGCAAACGTATCGCAGAACAGATAAAACGGGAAGTCGCGCCGCTACCCCGAAAGTCGTCATGTGTCGTTTTTGTCTGTTGTGGTTTTTCGGTTGGAGGGATGGATACATATGTATTTGTTCTCGTTCTTTTTCTCACCCCCTCTCGGTCCCTTCTCCCGACCTCAAGAACATACCCACCCACCCACCCACCCCCTCCGCTTGCCGACTCCGTCCGGTCCGGCAGGTTCCACCATGGGTGCGCCAGGGAACGCCAGGGTCGGAAGAAGCAGAGATGACGGAATTGCGGGGGGGTTATCACGGTGGTCACGCCCGCCGCCGCACCGGCTACGACGACGATGATGACGACGGCAACGGCAACGGGGGAAGCATGTACGGGTACTCCCCCTCGTCGACCAGTAGGCCGTCGACTGCGGGAGGAAAGCGATCGGTGAGGAGGATGACTTTTTTTTTTTTTTTTCTTCTCCGTCGTGTGGTCGACTGCTGTTTCTGCTGCTTAGCTCGGCTTGGTGAAGCGATCGTTGTAAGGAGAAGCGTTGGTAGTGGTCTTGGTGGCGTTGTTGCTGATATTGTTGATGTTGTTGTTGTTGTTGTTGTTGTTGGTGTTGTTGGTGTTGTTGGTCGTGGTGGTGGTGGTGGTTTTATCGTTTGTGCTAGCATACCCATCTTTCGTTGAGAGTGAGTCGAATTGACTGTAGCCCGCGATACGCGGCCTTGCTTCCTTCCTTTGCCATTACGGTTGGCTCTTCAAGAATTCGGCCGAAGCCACTCGTTTTGGCGAGAGGGCACGGCGGAGACGTCCGGGCAGTGTCGTCGTCATCAACGTTCATTCGCTCTAGGCATGTACGGTCGTCGGCCGGTCGCTAGGCGAGCGGAGGAGGGCAAGAGTTTGGTTGCTCGTTGTTGGTGCTACGGTAGTTGCTACACGGCAGGGAGAGCACGCATGAAATTCACAGTTTGTTTTTGGTAGCGTAACGGTAAGTACCACTCCCCCAGGGGTACTGCGGAAGACACTCCCTCCACCCCGTGGACGAGCCTGCGTCGCCCCCCCCCCTCCCCCCCCCGCCCTTTCTTCTCCTTTCCCCCCCCCCCCCTTCCCCTTTTTTCCCCTCCCCCCTTCCCCCCCCCCCCC